GGGGGGGCAACTCTAAGAAGTGCAAATTGAGCAGGTAGCCTACACGCTACACCAAGGAATCAAGGCGCTCGCTTAGATAACGCCTTTACAACAAATACTACTGTGGATGGTGACATTGGATTCTCGAGTAATCAAAAAAGTCTACTCAAAGACAAATTCAAAACAGCGGTCAAGTCAAAACTGGACCATTTACGTGAACCGCTATACTGTGGGATAACCCAACGAAAAAAAGCGGCTTAAGGCGGCAAAATTCCTCGCAACTAGTCAATCCAAGATGGTATAGGCTTGCGACAAAGCGCACCTTCCATTGCTCGGGACTTCGTCACCAAAACAGAGCTGGGCACCTCTTATATTCATAGACAGACACATGCATATAAGGCTTCTTTAGAAAAATGTAATTAATCAATATAGAAGGCCACCATTCACTCATCATCAATAGCCCTGGGTTAAGTGATAATAGAGCAGAGTGAACAAAGTCAGGCTTTGCACCAAAAGGCACTGAAAGCAATGATATTTTAAATACGGTGGTAATGAACTTGCTCCAGCTAGTGCAAACGACTAAAATCTTCCAAATCTGCGCAAGTGATACCGTTTTAAAAGGTCCTGTTGTAACTCGATGGCCAAAAAAAAGAACAATTCATCAAACAATTCCAAGGTAAATCGTTAGCTCTAAAAATGCGTGTTAAACGGCAGACTATCCTACATTACGATACCGAATCTGTATATCGCTGTAGAACTTTAAAAAATCGAGAATGATACGCGCGTTCATCGGGTTGTCAGGGTGTGCGCTTAGGAGATGACTGACTTCTCTGACATCCCAGCCCTTTTGGGTCATCCACTGCTTGAACTGCATTGCCTGCAAAGTGTTAAGCACATCTGTAGTCGTTCTCCTACCACCCATTTGTGAGGAGATCATAGCCTCGCCAAATTTCCGCGCAAGACCCAACGAATCTAAGTCAAGGCGCCTTTCTAAATCGTTGATAACTGCAAACTCGTCTGGTGTTTCTTTGTGCTTGCCCAGCTTGGTGGCGTAGGAGACCCATGTTTTCAGCCCTGGATTTTCAAGAAGCGTATCTTTGTCAAGCTTCAGAAGGTTGAAAATGTCGTCCTCTGTTTTTCCCGTGCTCCTCCACACTTCCTCTTGCAGTTTTGAAGCAAGATTTTCTGTAGTTACCCTGGTTTTTGCCTGGACAATCATTTCCTTCACGCTCTCAATACCGTAGTGATTTTTCAGTGCCACGAAAATCAACTCGTCCGCGTTCTTCTCGTCTAGTTTTACCACGTATGATACCCAAGTATTCAACATGGGGCTCTCAAAAAGTTTGTCCCCGTTCTTGTTTAGTTTCAGAAGAGTAAAAATGTCATCTGCACTTTTCCCTCCTCGGAGCCAATACTTGAACTGCTCCACTTCCAACACACTGACATCAATCTCCGCGTTACCTTTTTTCTTTGCCGCAACGAGCGTCCTCGCTAGACGTTCATCACTTAATACCTTTTTCAGTTCGAAAAACAACAATTCGTCAGGATTCTGCTTGCGCATTTTCACGTACGAGTACCACGTAGTCACAGCTGGGTTTCTCAGAATGTCATCCCCAATATCGTCGCTAAGCCGAAGAATCTTAAAAGCATCTTCAGCTGTTTTCTCTTTCGCCAACCAGCTATTAAGCAATGCTTGCTCCAACTTTGCAACACTCACGCTCGAGCTCCAATCCGCCTTCGCTGCAACTAAACGTTTAGTCAGCTCACCTTCATCGTAGTATTTCATCAATTTGACCAGTAGCAAATGGTATGCGTCTTCCTTGTCGAGTGCAGTGACGTAAGAGATCCAGGTGCGGAGAGATGGATTTCTCAAAATTTCATCTCCCGTGGCGGCGTTCAGACGTAGAAGTTTGAAAGCATCATCGGCTGTCTTTCCATTGCTCAACCAGTTCTTCAACTGCACCCTTTCCAACTCCGAAGCGATATGGCGCGTACTGTCGCTGGCCTTTGCTCTAATGAGGAAGTGAGCAAGTTCATCTTCGTCAAACCGTTTTGTCAGCTTGAGTAGCAACGCATCGTACGGATCTTCCTTCCCGAGCTTCTTTACGAACGATATCCACATTTTCAACAATGCGCTCTCCAAAAGATCATCCTTATCCACGCTCAGCTTTAGAAGATGGAACATTTCGTCAGCTGTTTTCTTTTCAATGATCCAGAAGTCAATCTGAATGGATTCAAACTTTTTGGCGATTTTCATCGTATTCGAATTTTGCTGCGCCTTAACTAGGTATTTCACTAGTTTCCTATCGCCGTAATGATCTCTCAAGGTTGATACCATCGCCACTTCACCTGCTTCAGGGTTCTTCTTGTAGGCTTTGCTCACATACTGAACCCACCGTTGAAACGGCACGCTCTCAAAAAGCGTTGATTTCTCCATTCCAACTTTGAGTGTCTTGAAACGTCTGTTGGTGGCCATCTGGTTGTTGGAAGTAAATCTTTGCTTAGCGCTTGTTGCAAGCTTCTTCAGTGTCTGTGAGACGCCCAGATTCCCAAGCTTTACAGCACCCGGAAGCTTAACATCAATCATCCTCTCTTGTGAGATCTCGTCTTCTTTTGACCATCTCAAATTCCGAGCGACTGCAACGCTGTTCTGCATTTCAGTTTTGATTACGCTCACGCTGGATGTCGCGGTCACGACTGCGATGGAATCGACATACACCAGTAGTGCGAAAACTGATATCAGTATGAAGTATTTCAAACTTGTTATCAGGCCGAATTTGACAGACATAGCTTGATTCGTGTGGAATGCCGACCGAGTAGCAAATTGCGAAATGGTAGCCCTCCGTGGGTTTAAAAAGATTGATTTGTAAACGAGGTCTTGGTTTTGTTTCAAAATTTGAGGGATTCTGGACCAGCCACGTCAACTTGCTGATTACTGAGTAGTAGATGTAATCAAAAGGAATGAAGTTTACTGTTAAGTAGAATGTAATCGGGAGTATGGTGACGGGAGGTGGAACGGTTATTTGGTGAGAAAGAAATATCTGAGAAAGACATTCCTCTCGCACTAGGCCAGTTATCTTGATGACTATCACCTAATTTGGCTCGATTACAATTAGATTTTTGACGCTGCATAGTGTTTGTAAACTTGCTCCAAACGCCACAACTTAGTTTCGTACTGCAAACCATTAACAAGTCTAAAATACACCTGAAAGCCAGCCAATGCAACTTCAAGGTGGTCTGATCATGAAAAAAAAAATGCAGGACCAGTTAATTACTGGGTAGCAGAATGTAATCAAAAGGAAAGGAGATTATTAGTACTGTAAACAAAGTCACGTTTTGCACGAAGAAGCTCTGGAATCTTTACAGGAATGATATTTAAAGAAGAAATCGTTCTTTGGATAAAGCTGATTTAAGCGGGAACAGTTCAAATGCTACCATTCTTGATACTCCGAAAAGACCACAGTCATTTAGTTTTTCCAATGCACTATGGTAATTAATCCTGCACTTGATCTTAGCGGACCGATTTGTATCCCTAAGCCGGTATATAGAAAGCTATAGTAGCTATTAGTTCTGTTGCTTATCACCAAAATGATGCAGGTGAGCTTCATTCGAAGCAATTCTAAAACGATTGAAAGTCTCATTTTTTT